TCGAAATCCAAGTCAGCGTCGCGATCGTGTCGTGCCTAATACCTTTTCCGTTTGCAGTTTTTGTTTTTCTTTGCCCGAACAACCAGCAATCAACCGACTTGTGCAAACATAAAAAGCAAAAGCAATAAATTAAACCAACATACAAAGCGCGTCTGTAAAAATAAAATAAATAAAAAACTTTCTCAACTTCTAAATGTAAATATTGAAAGAAAAAGTCTATAGCATTGCAGTTCTGTCGCGCCCCTCAAACACACGATAATTAAATAAAAGCTGGAACGACAATTAAAATATGTTGCATAAATTAAAATGCTGAAAAATGTTTTGAATTGAAGGTAATACGCAGCGTCTATACGTAAATCGATACACTTAAAAAAGTAGACAAAAATCATACAACTTTTTTGCTGACTAAAGTTAATAAATTACATAAAATATCAAGCGCAAAAAGTGTACAAAATTTTGTATTTTGTGTTGTATTCTCTCTCCTCGGCAAATGCCAGAAAAAAAAAACAAATAAAATATTTTAATAAATATATATTCAGGCGTACATATGTACATACGTGTGTTATGTATATATGTATGTACTATATATACTAGAAATTGACAAAAATAAACTTTATTATGCGTGGAATGAAAACGACAAACATCTATTTAAATATATGTATATGTTTATACATATATGTGTATATATAATCTGCATAGATTATACTCAACGCTGGCGCTGCTCCAGTCATCATAAAAATAATATTAAAAAACAACAACAAAAAACCCAACAAAAATAAAAATAAGAAAATAAAAAATAAAGAATGCGCACGTTTGTCACCAACGCGATTCGAGCCGCCGCAATTCGTCCGCCGATGCAGTTTAAACTATTTCTAATAAGTATAAATCCAATGCTGTTTAATGAGATTTATTAAGCGATTTCAATTGCAATATGTTGGAGAGTAAAGTACATAGATGAAAACTTAACAGCAACTTTTACACAACACTCGGTCCTAACCTATAAACGTGTGTCTGATTTTTACAAATTGTCGTTGCAGTTGCAAGCGCAAAATTCTTTTTACATTCTGCGTTTTGCTCGCGTCTCCGCTTCGCTTTGGTCCCCACACTTTCCCACCTTCCACCTTCCACCATACAACACGCACATACTACACACCACACACCACACCACACACACAGCAGCGCACTCTGTTTTATTTATTTTCTCATTTTTGGGGCTATTTGGCTTTTCGTTTTGTGGGGGCTGGCCGTGAGTTGCATTTTGCATTTGCATTACATAAAATTGCTGAGCGAGTTAATTTGTTTATTTCATAAAATTTTAGTTTTTACTAAATGTGCTGTTGTTATGTTGTGCATAAAAGTGCCTAGCTAGCTAGACAATACATACTTGTACATACATAGGAATGTTTTTGCAGCGTCTCCAGTCCTTGCTTTCGCAATTGCAATTGACTTGTCTTTAGGGTTTGATTACACAATCCATAGAACCTTGCAGTGCGGTGTAATGACCAAAATGTGGAGGAGGCTGCTGTCTTGTGCTTGTCATGTGCTCTCTCTATGTGTGTGTGCCTCTCGGCTCAACGTCATGGAAATTCGCAATTGTCGTTGTTGTTGTTATTATTATTATTGTCGTGTTCGTTCCTCTGCCGGTCTGCCTGCCTGCCTACTATTGTTGCTTTGGTAGAAAATGTGTGTGCCTAGTTGTGTGTGTGTGTGTGTGTGTCTAGTTGTGTGTGTGTGTGTGTGTGGCGGCCACTCAGTCTGCCCGTTGTTATACTCTACTTAATTCAACGCCGCCTATTGTTGTTGCCTTTTGCTATTACTTTTTTCATTCAATTTAATACATATTGCCTTTTATGTGTGCAAATGCACACACATCTATGCGCCCACATACGCGAACAGATTCTCTAACACGCGGACAAATTTTCGTCAAAAGCAATTACTGCTATTTTACGTTAAGTTTCTCACATGAGGCTCCAGCATACTCGTACTATACACCCGTTATATTGGCTCTGCAATTGAAATCAACAACTGTAGCAGTAGCAGAAGAAGCAACAACAGCAATGTATGTAGGTATGTGTGTATGTATGTTCGTATGTTGAGAGCAACAGCAGTAGTCGCAGCAGCCAGCGAGTCATTTGTATTTGTTGTTCATACATACATATGTATCAATGCATGTACATATATACATACGGCGTTGCCATTGCTATTAGTGTGTTATGTGTTCTTGCGCTTGTTTTGTTTCTTTTCTCTCTTGTGATCAGTGCTTTTAGTGTCTCTGTGACGTGCTGTTTCAATTTTTTTTCGACGCAGTTTGTTACACAATTAAATTGTTGCTTTAATTTCATTTTCGTATAACGATGGGCAATATGTTTTGCACAGAGTCCTGAAATATTTATTTTTAACGTCAATTCCTTAACTATAATTTAATGGAGTAAAAATGTCTGCTAGGATCTGCGAAGAAACAAGTGCTAGAGTCGCCAAACTTCGCTCTTATGTTCAATTAAAGTTCGATGCCCTAACAAATTTCAAATCGAAAAACTTGTAATATTCAACTAAAAGGGATTTTTTGGACGGGCGTGTACAGGGTATGAAAGAGTCGTAAGCGCGCGACATCAGCATTCGACTCATTTATTTTGCCATTACTCGAGTGCATTACTAATGCGCTTTTAAGTGATTTACTTGCTGTTGTTGTTGTTGCTCGGACCCTTACGTACTTCACCCCACTTGCTTTTTTTTTTTATTATTATTATTTGAGTCGCGCGCTCTATCACTCGTAATAATTTTTTCCATAAACTGAAAAGCGTGCGACTGAGTGCTGTGCCTATTTGCTCTCCCCTTTTTCTCGATGTGTGCGAGAGTGTGTTTGAGTGTGTTTCGCATCACGCGATTCGAACGCCGATTTAAACGCCGACTGCCGCGTTCTTAGCTACGACTTTTTACACAGTTCAAAAGCTCAAGAGGCCAAGTCGATTTTCTTTATCACCGCTTGAATGATTGACTGCCTGTCGGATTGAATGTACCTTGTTTGTATTGCCTGCCAATATTGAAAAATGTGAAAAGCTACTTTTCAAAATGTCCAGAATTACACTAACATTTTCAGCTCAGCTACATACTACATATATTTAATTGATCTATGAGGTAAGCTTATTTGGGGGCTTTAAACGAGACTTTTTGCTGTTCTATCCGGCGCCAACCGGTGTGACCGAACAATAGCAACAAATGAAGATGAAGCAATTGGGTTTGTGTTCATTGTATACAAGTAGTAGCGCTTTCAATGGAATGATCATTGTATAAAATGTTGTATCTGTTCCCCAATGTTGATGTCATTTATATAGAAATTAAATGTTGGCCCAGTTGGTGGGTCATCACTGCTTTAACCCTTTTACTACTTGTCTTGACATTGGCGGTTTCGTTTCAACATTATCAAACCACTTTAGTGGGTACTTTCCACTCAATACCTTTGACGCAACACTTCAGGTTGTATTTCACCAGAGACGAGCCCCCAAAAATTTGCTTGCTCGTTAGTGTTTTTCCATCTTCAGTTACAGTGGAAGCAAGCCTTAAAGTACTTTTAAATAAATTAACACAAAACCACTTGAATATACTCGTAGAAAACATATCAAGATTTATTTTCAATGACTGATCTTGTCGATTAAAATAAATGAAGTATTTTTGAAGGTCTAGGATCGAAACATTCTTGAATATTGAAGGCTACTATCATCCATGGAAGTGGATGACTAGTATTTCATTTCGTTGCTGTTGCACGTGTGTGAGTTCCACTGTAGAAACCGAAATCGTCGTGCTATGACTCCACGAGAGTCTCGCATGCCAAATACTTTACGGCCAAAACAACGTGTGGCTTAAGTGTTCGTTGTATCGGGCGATAGTCTCTATCTCGATAGCCATGGTGGCCTAGGTGGGCGTTCACGCGCTTACCGTTTGATTCTCAGCCGTGCTGCACATGCACAGTGACACAGCTGAGCGGTCGGCAACCATAAAAAATATGTACATACATAAGTACTATATAGTAGCCACAGTAGAACTGTTCGAATGAGTATGAAGCGTCGATCATTGGGTCGCTGGATCGCTGGATGGTTGTTAATGTTTTAGTACCTGTCACTATCTTATCAGGTCGAGCAAGCCGACTATTTGCCGCTGTAGCACAATTTAATTTCATTTAACAAGTCGCTTGCTCTCTTTTTGTCTAATTGGATTTGGTTGCTGTGCTCCTCTACTTAGATTATTGATTGCGCTTTGCCCGAGACTGCCCGAGATTTTTGGCTGTTTTTTTTTTTTTTTTTTTTTTTTCAATTCGATTGTCTTGTTTACTTCGTGTTTTTTGCGTGTTGGGACTGTGCTTCCAGACACACCCCTCTTTTTTTTGCTATCGCAACTGTCTTGTCATGGATATTTGATAAGGCAAGGCGTATGAGCAATGTGCAAAGAAAAAAACCAGACCAGACATACTAGAAGAGGAAACGTGCCTGTGTCCGGGATTTCAGCCATTCTGCGCGTGACTTATCGTTCATTGAAAGATTATGTGATTCTAATTAGAAAAACAAAACAAAAAGTTGTCATTTAAGGTAGAGCCTCAATCACGTTTTACACGTTTGACACACACTCTTGTAGATCCCCGCCAAATGAAGCTCATTAATGGACATTTAGCTTTAATTACATGATTTAATTACTAACCCAACCACTGTAAAACATAAATTGCCAAAGCAGCATCAGATTTTCAGCTAGTAGAGCCCCATTGGGCCTGATTCGACGCATTCGTCAAATGTTTCGAGTACTGTTTGCATAATTCTCTGAGCACGGCCGTGTGCTGGCTCTTGAGAGCAATTAAAAGAACAAATATTACAATCGGTTCACGAGAAACGCGCGCTTTTTTCGCTGTGGTGTAACAAACGAGTGCATCTAGTATATAGAAAAGAAAAACATTTTACGATATTTTCCGCCCCTATTTACCATTACGAAACGCGTTTTGTGCATAATTTTTGCAGTAATCTTGAGAATAAACATGAGATTTATTCACTTGCACAACAAACGGCGGCAAGTGAGCAAAAGGAACAACAACAACATCATCCACTACAGCAACAAACAGTTGCACCTGAGGACAACAACAACAACAAGAATAATATAGAAACTACAAAAGCAACAGTTGAAGCAGCTGCTGCAGAAACAAATGAGCTTGAATCGAAACCAAAAGCAATTGAAACTGTAGAAATAAAAACAAAGACAACAACAAGTGCTGCTGCAACCACTGCTAACCCACCAATAACAACAACACCTAACGATAACGAGCAACAACAGCAACAACCACAACCACAAACACCGCCTCAACAACAGCAACAACAACAACAGAAAGACCAACTGCAAGCCGCAAACGATCTTTTGAATATCAAACGTGAAAATCATTCACCCGGTCCCCGCACCATCACAGCTCAAATCATCAACAACAATAAGAACAACAAGGGTCAAAACCCCTTGCTGCGACCCTCTATCGCCGCCCCTGGGCGCATTGAAGAGAAGCAACCCAAGTCGGTGACTGCTTCCGTCTTTCGCACAACCGCCTGCAAGGGGCCCCTAAACGTCGCCGCATTCGTCGCTGCTGCCGAGCAATCTTTGCCGCCTACGACCACAGCAACCGCTGCTATACTATCCTCTAGCAATCAGCAATACCAACAACAGCAACAACAACAACAGCAGCAGCAACAACTACAACAACCACAAGATATGAATAAAGGATTCTTATCATTCGCTGACGATGGACGAGGTTTAACAAGTAAGTAACACCCTCTTGCAAAATAAGAACCCATATGTAACCTAAATGTACGTTAAACTCATTAGATTAGATCATTGAAAAGGCACACATTTTGGGTCGGATATATATGTACAATAATATTGTTAGAATTATCCCTGTACTAAGCAACTAGGTCTGCACTTGAACTTAAATAAAATGAGAGATCAGATCTACCCCAGGTATGCTATTGAGTGTTGGCAAGATATTTTATTGATTCCTAATGTCCGCCTAAAGTGCTAGTTACTTAATCATAGCGTTAATTAAAAATGATGGATTTGTAAATGGCTCGAAGTCGACATAATTAAGGGTTCGGCATTTATTTCATTTATCGATTCGTAAAAAGCTCAAGTTTAGGCTCAGTTAAGCAGTTAAGAGGCAAACAAATATTTCAGACAGGCACAATTCAGTAGCGAGGAAACCAACTCGTGCTACAGATTAGAACAGTCTGCATACCAAGTTTGTTAATGGGGGTTCGCTTCTAGATCGATTTAGCTGCTTAAGAATATCAGGAATTTGCTTTCTTTGGCCTGTTGCGTAGTCGTTATTTTCACAAAGCTAAAGCATATGCTCCTCGGGTACATACAAGTAGTATACAAATGAGCTGACACGTGATTTGCAGAACAGTGCGGAATGATAAGAGAGGGCGCCTGTTTTCCATTCCTCTGCTTCGTATTTGCATTGCCTATGAAGCAGGCAGCAGCAGCATATTTAGTGGAAAAACAGGAACAAAAACTTTGCATTAGAACGAGCTGCTGCAGTCAAGCGAGTCAGTAAGTTAGTCAGTCGGTCAGTTAGTCAAGTGCATTAGCCGTCGCTGTGAGGGGCATGCAGCGATCAAGGCTAAAGTCAACGTACGTTTGTACATCTCTTACATATTCATAGAGCTGGCTGGCCCCAAGTCTATCTGAAGGTATGTGTGTGGGTTATAGTTTGTATAGCCTATGCAAAATAAACAACAAAATCTGGTGACGCGCGCCATTTGATGTGATTTGACGTATTGTCGTAAAGGCGCAACGTCGGGCAGCGAGCGAGTCTATTTGATTGACCAATTCGTTCGTCGATTGGTCAGTTGGTCAGATAGTCAGTTGCTTTTGCTTATCGGCGCGCACAATTTGCGCAAATAGAACTATTTATTTGTAAAGACAACAAGCAATAGCAGCAACAACAACCACAACAACCACAACTGTGGCAAAGTCAATGTACAAAATGCACCCCTTAACCCTCTCAACATTTTGATATTTTTCAAATGCATTTGTAAACAATGTTCAACCTTCAATTTGATAAGTGCAGTTGCGTTATTGTTGTATGTGTTGTTGTAGAAACCATAGCCGGTATACCGGTTGGAAATAATGTCCATATACTATACTATTTACTATACTGTGTGTGCCTATACATAGCGTATACGCCACTTATTACGCGACTCTATGCTCGTATATACTTATTGTGTACAACTTCTTTGCGGTTAGTGTCCAAAAAGCACAGCGACCGACCACTGATGACACTTTAATTCAATTGAGTTCCGTAAATAAGTAGCTGCTGCGACAAGCAACCGAAGAAGAGGAAGAAGAGGAACGACAACAACAACAACAACAACGACAAAAACAACAAAGAAATAAATGAAAAATACGCTTGCTCGCATATTCATTTTTCAAATGAAAATTTTCCTTTTTTCAATTTGAAATTTGTTGTCTTTTTTAACACGCATGCTGGGGTCGCCTCCGCACAGTTGGCCGCGCCAAATTCCAATTATTTATTTATTTTTTCTAAAAGAGCGAGAAAATAACTCTAGCCAGTTTGTTGTTGGCGACAGCGGCAGCAAAAAACGAGCAGAATTCGAAAATATGAATATTAACTTGAGCCAATTAATATGTTAAGTGATGCCCCGCCGTCCACGAAAACTTTGGGGCGCGTGTGCCAAGGCCTGGCCATGGATCAAGCGGTTGCTTGACATATGTCGCCAAGCGAGAAGACAACAACAACAATACTAAAGTATAAGTAATAAGAGAAAAATAAAAAGTCTGGGAAAATGAAAAAATGAAAACCTATTTGGCTTTGCCAAGTTCTGGCAGCAGCCGTCGCTGCAGCGTCTCTGAATTTCCACTACTTATATAGATGCCGACGTCTAAAATTAAGCGACACTCACAGAATATTTGCTGTGTGCGTCTTCCAAAGAGTGCCGCACGCCCGCCCTCCCCGTTCCGACCCTTCCCGAGCACACCCAGGCACTAATCGCTTGCTTTTTGTCTTCCTTCGTGACATTTTCAGTCGCTTGCAGTCGATCCTAGCTAGATGCTTCAGGTTTTCCTTTTTCGATTTCTTAAATTATTTATTTTGGTTTTCTTGAAACGTGCATGGACAGGGAAATTGTCTCACAACAAAGAGTAATGGCTTTCAATGTTATTTAAATCTGTTTACGATAAATATTGTTTGCATTTATCAGATATAGGAATTCTGGGCGGTTTGAATCGGCGGATTTGGATCGAAACCAAAAGCGAATTAGCCAAAAAAAAAGAATAAAGAATTTCATGTTGATTTGTATTGGTTGGATTCGTTGGCTTCTTTTTTGTTAAAGTCTTTTAGTTGGCCTGTTTTTCCATTTCGATTCTTAACAATAGCAACAATAGCTTATCGGTAGTTTCGGGCTTATATTCTAATTCAAAGGCGGTCAAATGCCCAACCAACTTTTACTTTCATGATTTGGCCGAGTCCCTCTCTCTCTCTCTCTCTCTCTCTCTCTCTCTCTTTTTATTGCCAATTTGTTCTTGGGGCAAAGAAAAAACAAGTTCGATTATCGTCTGGCGTTTCGCATTTATTTACAGACCACATAAACAAACACATGACACCGGCTGCCATGGCCTGCTCTGGTCTGTCCCTCTTGTAATTATTTAAACCTGTTATCGCTGTGAGCCGAAATTAAACAAACTCTATATAGATCTATAAACTTATGATAAAAGAAAATGGAGAAAAGAATACATGCGTGCGTAAATATTTATAACGATAACAACATAGTCAGAATAACAACAACAATAAATAGACACAATCAATGACCATGTATAGTACACTATCTACATTATTATGGGCCCATTAGTGCCAGCGCCCGCAACAGCAGCAATAACAATCTGAATATAGCACTTACGAGTACATAGGTCTGTAATACCCAACAGGGCCATTATGTCAGTCAGTCAGCCAATGTTCAGTCGATGGAAAGATTCTGAATCGAATTTAAGTCGCCACTGGTGCGTAGTTCAAGTTCAAAATGATAGCCCGCCCGTCCAGCCAGCCAACCAGCCAGTTAGTGAGTGAGTTCTCGAACAAGAGCAACAAAACTAAATACCGTCTAATTCAGTGTAAATTGTCGAAAAAAAAACAAGAAAAAAAAAACAAACAAACACAACCTTACACCGTCTATAGAGCTTTTAAGTGACCATGTCCGGCTATGAAAATTATTCATTATCTGCATTACTCTTATTTTGATTTGGGAAGCGCCTAGGTACGTCACGGCACGGCGTCTGTTTTTTTTTAAAAGACTAGCCCGTACACTCGCTGAAATTGCTGACTACTAACTATCTATACACATACGTAGTTGCTAGAGTGTCAATAAAGTAAAGATGCTTGATTCAAAACTTTACAGATATGAGGTGATGGCGATACCGAAAAATTTTTGGAAAGATTCCACTGTTCGATTCAATTCAATTCGAATGTAAACTGTAGCACCTGTTTTTTTTATGATTTACAAATCTGTCAAGGCATTCAAGCACTCAAATATTTCTCCTAGTGTAGCACGATTTGTTTCTCTGCCTCTAGTTTTAAGATTCCTCAATTGCATTCGTCGCGCTTATAGTCCGTGCGACTAAATTTGTGAGAGTGTTGCAAACGACGAGCGCAAATGATGCCATAAATTTATTTCAATTGCGGCAACTGGCCCCGGAATCAGCATCGTCCGCCACAACCGTCCCAACCCGACCAGCTGCCCCCTCCCCCTCCAGTTTTGTTTGGCCTACGAAAGTGGAGTAGTGGCGGCGGCCAAGTCACACGCCCGGCAATTTACAAACACCTTTTATGTTAATTTCCCGACATGTTCTCTACACGCTTTCGAAAATATTTCAAGAGCATCAAAATTTAGCGCAAGTACACACGATGTTCTCCTTTCACATGCGTGTCACGAGATGCAGTCGCTTGTGTGTGTGAGTGTGTGTGTGTGTGTGTGTGTGTGTGTGTGTGTGAGTGTTCTTGCGCTTGGGTGTGCGTATGTGTGTGTGTGTGTGCGAGCGAGCGTGTATTTTATGGTCACAACTAGTAAGATATTAACCTTGTGCTCGTTAGCTTGGCAACTAGGCGCTAATATTTCGCATTAAATTTTTTTTTTTTTAAAGTACTTAGCCTTGCACTTTAGCCAACATGGCATAAAAAAAATATACTATGTATACTATACAATACAACAAAACAAAATCTTTTTGCAAACATTTACGAAAAGTATCCAAGTACAGTCATAGGAGATGGGAGGGGAGGGAGGCGTAGGGAGCTGCATAGCCTGCACTATCATGCGCCATAATTTTTGTTGTTGTTCTTTCCATAAGCTCCAAGTCGTTGAGTGGGCTTTGAGTAGCACTTGAGTGCCATAATTATTAGTCGCTAGCAGCTAACGGCTAGGTGGCTAGATGGGGTGGTGTAAGGGTGCGAGCAGGGTGCGCAGTACTTTAGGGTTGTGTGCATTGTTAATTAATTTGTTTGTGTCGTTTTGAGCCCAAACAGTGGGACTGGTGCGACAGATGCAAGGGGCAGGTAGAAAGCAAAGCGTAGATTTTTCCAAACTCAGTGCTGGATATTCTTGACTAACAAACTATTCGAATACGCCACCAGACTTGGCATCCCTCCCAAATAATACCGATTGGGTTAAAGGTAGGCCTATGACAATAAACGCCTTCAAGGCTGGGTAGCTTTTTTATACTATACCCAAAAAGGAATAAAAGTATATTACGTTTGCGGAAAGTAAAAATGTAACAGGCAGAAAGAGGCTTGGCAGACCTCACAAAGTATATATATTATTGATCAGCAAGACAAGATGAGTCGATCTAGCCCTGACTGTCTGTTTGTCCGTATGAACACCTGGATCTCAGAGGCTGTAAGACCTAGAGACGCCAAATGTTGTACACAGATGTCTTATGTGTGTACGCAGAACGAGTTACATTTTTTTCCCCCACTTCTTTTTCTATAACTCGTTTATGGAGGAAGAGAAAAAACTGAAAACACAACAGAAATGAAGTATGGAATAAATGATGAAGATGCTTCTTCCTTCTTCCTTCTTGATTATATACTTAATGAATAGAATATTATATTTAGGCCAGTTTATTACTTGGATTATAGAGTTAGCTGCACTATCTGGCGATAGTGTTGGTCTTTTCAATGGGTGCTCGGCACTTTGCTGTAATTCTAACCATATACTATGTACATATAGTATGTACATGGAAATGCCTGACTTTATTTATAAAGCTTTTGAGCGATTACTGGAAGAACTAACAAATATAATCGTACAAGTAGTTGTGCCTCCTATCTTATTTAGTTGTGCATTTTGCGGTTTGTTGTTTTTCACTTATATTTTGTAATTTAATATTGCTTGCATTATTATTATTATTATCAGGTTTATTAGCATTTCATATAAGCAACGACAGGTATACTATATAGTATACGAGTAGGTAGTAGTTCGTGACGCGCATTGCAATCTCAATCTCCCGATGCGCTGCCCGATACGCCGCCGTGCAACACCTTGCAGGGCTTTGACTCGCTCCCCGGGGTTAGAGCTGTATTCATGTAAATTATTTAATTAATAAATAGTTTTTGCCTGCACATTTAGATTTCTATTCTGTCGACATGTGATTTGCGAAAGACGTCAGCGCATATACGAATAGTTAGTGATAGCAAAACATTTCCACTGCCCAATTTTGATTAACGAGCATAAAATCATGGCTGGATGGCTGGAACGCCCAAAAACATATAAAACTGTTACTGGCCCTAAGAACATTGCCAGCAATTGGCAGACTAGCGCATAAATCAACCAATTCTCGAACAAAACTTCAATTAGACTCAATTGGAAACTGTCAATTAGAGGCTACCGAGATGTGTGTCTGTGTACCAGCTTTTGTTTTTGTTTGTGCTATTGTTTTTCTTTTCCTTGGTCTCAATGAAATTTTGCACGATAGCAGACGCCATTGCCATAATTATTGAGCGAGAGCTAGGGCGCGGTTGGGGTTTGCGGATTGGGCTGGGGCTGTGTATGGGGCCGGAGTCGTAGATAACTCCTTGTGCAATTAATTAACGGTGTCGGCCATGGCTTGGGACGCAGACAGCTTGAAGATTGAATAGGGCGTGCTCGCACTTAACACTGCGGCACTAAAAATGAGTTTTGACACCTTGACAATGCGCTTAGCACGAAACTAAACTGAACCGCTGCCTTCTCCTCATTTCGTTTGTAGTGCTTAAAGAGGAACCCGATGACTTATCTCACCACCTGGCGACCACAGGCTGCATCCAGCTCGATGAGATCACACCATTCAGCGATATGCTGGGCCTCATGGGCGCCTGTCTGCTGCCCGAGGACATCAATTCGCTCGATTCGACAACCTGTTCGACTACAGCAAGTGCCCACAATTACAATAGCAGCAGCAACAACAACAGCGGCAGCAGCAACAGCAGCCAAAACATCTATAGCAACAGTCCCAGCAACAGAACGAGCCTCAGCCCAGTTGCAGTTGTAGCAGCGGCGCAGAGCGCGGCCAGCAACCCGAACAGCAACCAGAATAGCAACAGCAACAGCCACAACAACGACAACAGCAATAGCAGCAGCAACATCGATCCGCTCTTCAACTATCGCGAGGAGTCGAATGACACGAGCTGCTCCCAGCACCTGCACTCACCCAGCGTCACATCTAAAGTGAGTACAGCTCCGAAAACTTGGTCCATTTCTGAACAGGCCTTGCTAGAATAGTTTCTGAGGAATGCAAACACAAATTGTTTCCTTCTAACTTTTCTACTACGCAGAAATGTGCCAGTTGGTGGTCCCATCGTTTAGGCCGATCTGCTTACCAAGAAACACTTGAGCTAACGAGTTACCTTTTCCCTCTCTTGCCTCTTACAGAGTCCCGAAAACAGCAGCCTGCCATCGTTGTGCAGCCCGAACTCGCTGACCCAGGAGGATGACTATTATAATGTCGATTTTGACATGCGGGCTCCATACATCCCCATGGACGATGACATGCCACTGCTCACGGAGACCGATCTTATGTGGTGTCCATCGGAGGACTTGCAAATGGTGCCCAAGGAAATGGATCCCATGCACTTGCAACAGCTGCAGCAGCAATGCGACAACAATCGTCTCTACACTGGAGTATACCCACAACAGCAACAACAACAGCATCAGCAGCAGCAGCAACAACATCAGCCGCTAAATCAGCAGCAGCAGCAACACTTTTCCAACTCGCTGTGCTCGTCGCCGGCATCGACAGTTTCCTCACTATCCCCCTCGCCAGTGCAGCAGCAGCAACATCATCACCAGCATCAGCAGCAACAACAACAACAGCAGCAGCAGCAACAGGCGAATGTTTTTACAACCGACTCGAGTGAGTTGGCGGCACTGCTCTGCGGTTCAGGCAACGGCACACTATCGATTCTGGGAAACAACGTTGCCGATGAGTGCGCGGAGCGCCTACAACAACAAACGGCAGCCGAGTTCCGCACCTTCCAGCAACTGCAGCAGGAGTTGCAGCTGCAGGAGGAGCAACAACAGCAACAGCAGCAGCAGCACCAGCACCAACACCGTCAACAACAACATCAGCAACAGTTGCTGGCTCTCAGCATCGAGTGTAAAAAGGAGAAATACGAGGTGGCGCTGGCGCCGAGCTTGTGCCACCACATGGATGATGCATTTGAAAATGACTACAGCAAGGACTGTAAGTATCTTCACCAACCGAAAACCAAAACCAAAATGAAAGGCGAAGCGTTGAAATATGCGACACGCAGTTAGACGGGGAGCTCACAAATTCCACCCACGCCGACGGCAATAAGCGCTTTTATTGAAATTTACTGCGACATTTAGCTGCATTTCCATGTTGCAAGCAGTCTTCAGAGCGTGCTACCTTAGGGCCGGCTGCTAATTATGTAGCGGAGCGAGCTATCACACCAATCCGTGCGACAATTTTCGTTCACTATAGGCCCAATTTTCCGTGCGTGTTTCCAGCTAAAAATAGTGGAATAAGCAGAAGCAAGAAAAGTTCTTTTTTTTAGAGCCCCCCATACACCGCCCACATGTAAAAATAGTCAACAAATTTTTCGAATTTTGTATTTTGTTGACATTTGCGTGCCGCCCCCAAAGTGCCACTGGAGGAGAAGACATCACTTTATATTCTGGAAGAGCTAATTGATGCGGGTCGGAGATGGGGGACAGCTAACTATATTTACTTTAACGCTCGCTCCCTTTACATAATTACAAGTAATTTTCCTCGCACATATCAAAATGTGTGTGTGCTTTAGACAAGTGCCTCACTTGGCCGTCTGTCCGCAGCAGTACTCTACCTTAGACACACATTTCTGCTGGCCTGACTAGGGCGATTTGGTTAAAACCATTGATTGACGCCTACGATTGGCAGCTGCCTGTCGCTTGTTTTGATGTCTGGCGACGTCTTTACCTTTGCCCATGTCATAGGACGTATTGACAGATGGACGAAGTGTTGGGGGCTCATGTGATATGCGATTCGCACCTAGTGCCTTAGAAGGCAGGGTCTACCTTCGCATACATGCATACATACATACAGACATACATATGCATATGTGTGGTGGAAAAATCATAAGCCTTCATGATTAATGCTCTGCTCGGATTGTAGGCCCAAAGTACAAATATATAGATCTAAATATATGTTCAAAGATATAGACACCAGTTTTCCCATTGGCAACTAGAAAACGAAAAATATGTCGTTTATTTTCGTGCGAAATATTTCTGTTTTCTTTTTATTATTATTATATTTTTTTTATGAAAAACAAAATATTATTGTTTTAAATTAGCATCAATGTCATGGGCAACGGAATTAATATTGTGTCAGCAACAAAAAGAAAAAGAAGAGAAAGGACAGCGTATTTCAATAAATTCTCAAGCGAGCGTATAAATAATGTGTGGAAGGCTTCGACTGAATATAAATTACTTTCATGGCAGAGCTACACTCGACTGCATATTTCAATGGCTTGCCACTATAATCCTCTTTATAGCAGACAGACCCAATCCAGACCTTGGCAAAATAACAATTCCTTTTTATTTCTCTTCACCTAGCAACAAATCTCGATTGGAGCGAGTTGCTGTTAAATGATGCGACAAGTGCAGCCAGCCCGGCAGCGTCGCCAACGCCGCATCAGCCAATCAAAGTCACTGCAACGACAATACAGTTGCTGCAACAACAGCAACAACAACTGCATCAGCAGCAACAACAACAGCAACAACACCAGCAGAATATCATTTTAAATGCCGTGCCATTGATCACGATACAGAATAATAAGGCATTGCTGCAGCAGCAGCAGCAACAGCAGCAGCAGCAGCAACAGCAGCAGCAGGTGGAACAGCTGCAGGAGCTGATGTTGCCGGCCAGCTTGCAACGCGGAATCAACACTAAGCTGCCCGCCATGAAGCTGTTGAACGGCACAACCATAGCACCGGTGACCACAAAGGCCACCATAAGGCTGGTGGAGGGCAAGACCACAACACCACCGCAGCAGCAGCAGCAGCAACGTATTGGTCTGGTTGCCGGCAAGGCGACCATTTTGCAGACGGCGACGCCTCAGCACCAGCATGGCAACAAACGCCATTTGAACAGTCAGGCTGCTGCAAACAATCCGGTCGAATCGAAACGCCTGAAGAGCGGCTCCTTGTGTCTGGATGTGCAATCGCCGCAGCTGCTGCAGCAGCTCATGGGAAAGGATGCACATCAGCAACAGCAATCGCAGACCCCCAAGAAGCAGGGCACCGATCGCTGGTCAATAGATGCCAAACAGCAGCAACAGCAGCAACAGCAGAAGCAGCAGCAGCAACAACAGCAGTCGAACTCGGTGCTGAAAAACCTGCTGGTCAGTGGACGGGATGTAAGTGCCGGTTACTGCATTGTGCCAATGCGGCCCAAGAAGCAGCTGGCAAAGGTCTAGTCTGCCTCTACAGAGCGCTAGCCAAGCCGCAAGACATTTTGAAGAATTAAACCAAACAGTCAACCTGCCTCTCAGTAGCAAAAAAAAAAAATAAAATAAATAAAATAAAAAAAAATAAAAAAATGAAAGCGAACACACATTGAAACACGCGCGAGTGTCTATCGTGACAGATTTGTGAAAATGTATGCGATTAATCAACCAAGTAACGGACAAGCCCTTTTCTACAGCTTGTAGTTTGTAAATGGATCGATTTTATAGGAAACCCTCGCCACTCCTCTGCAACTCCAGCCTTCTGCCTTGGAGGAAGTCCAAGTCCAGTTGGGATTGCAGTTGGGTGGCTGCCAGCTTTAGTGCTAGTGCTAGTGTTAGACTTAGTCTTAATGTTTAGGATAGACGTTTAAGTTGGACTGCAATTTCATAATTGCGGCTAGTGTGGACTTTAAAATTACAAATTTTAGTAGACTATTTAAAATAGTGCGACGTTGTCTTTAAATACGAGTAGAGCCGAACATTTTTATTAAGTTATAAGTTTTAGTTTCTCTTGCACGATGATGATTTATTGTTGATTTCATTTTAAGTTGACCATAAGCCATGTTGTTATATTTTGTTGAACATTTTGTTGTAAATAATCGAGGTAACTATACGACTAAATAGATATATATACGAGTACATATATCTATATATAAGTAAGGGTTAGTTGCTACAGTGACTACCAAAACTAAGCGGCATAAGCATCACAACAAAACAGACATCAAATCAGGTAGAGAAAAACAAAAGAGAAAGAAAACAAAAACAAAAACAAATGCAATAAAAACGATTTATGGCAAATTTAAGTTTTTTACTGTGATAGAATATTGCTTTTGTTCATTTGTGTTGCGCAGAGATTTTTATTTCAAAGAAACGAAAAGAAAATTGAAAAAACACTTTTGTTGAATGCACCAATTAATGGAAATTATTATATGTGTAAGCTTTTATGGACTGAGGACGAGCCTACGGCAGCAATGGGGACTTTCGCTCGAACAGGAATGCACAGGAACGAACTGGAATGTGTTGTAACAGAGGGAAGGAGAAGCCATTGAATTGAATTTGGTGTTTTGTTCGAAATTATTGTAAATTGATTGTCACACTGATCGTTATTGGAAACAAGAAGTAGCCAACAATTGAAATTCGAGCGCTGATGGTACAAAGAGAACAAAAAGCATAAACATAAAAGTTCAGCACAAACTTAAGTGCAACTGTGTAAGCTAGCAAATTATTCGTACTAATTAAAGTTAGTGAAGAGTCAACATAAATACATACTTACATATATACATACATTTATACAAACATAGAAATCGCAACTACTAGCAATTAAAGTTTAAAGTTTTAGCATTGTAAGCGTTTTTCCTAGTGCCACCAAAATGGCGCACAGTTAACAAACAGCTCCGAAACGGCGCCCTATTGAAGTTTTAGATGAGCGCGCATTACGGATCGCATTGATTTTTAGTTACGTAGCTCCTAATACTATAATTTTGGTTTATTTTTGCGTTTATTTACAAACAAAAAAAAGAAAAAAGAAAAGAAAAAAATTGATTAAAATGATAAGAAATAACATCATTTCAGCACCTTGCGCACCAATATTGTTTGATTTTTTATTATTTATAGCTCTTGTACATATTTTGACACTCAAAGTGTGAGCACCTTTTTTTTGGTTTTGAATATTTAAAAGGTACTTATCGATTTTCGTGCGCCTCTGCCACACATACTGCCACAACTGACCTACATTGCTGTTGTTGGGCTTGGATGTGTATTATTTGACGTTTCAATAAAAAAATTTTAGACACACACACGAAACCTATTCCCGATTGTAACGACCTCGGCGCGCTGGCTTTTGACTTTAATTAAGTCTCGTTTTCGTTTTTACTTTCATTGCGTGTTTCGCGCGCATTCTTCCAATTGATAAATGCCCCAAGCACCAGCCAGCCAGCCCTGCCAACATAATATTACTACTACCTCTGCTACATGCCACAAAAATCATAAATATCAAGAAGCGAACGTAGCGCACCAATTTACACGCGCCGCATATTAAATTGCTTGGGTAATGGGTTAGGTTCTAAAAATACAATTCCTGCTTCGGGCGAACTTAAAACATCGTATTATTTCATCTCCATATACTAAGTAGTAGTATGTGTATGCTTGTTTACATAAGTATATGCCTGAATTGCCTTTGAATTTTTAAGCTACGTGCGCCTGCGGCTATGCTACACTTTCTGGCGATTGACACTACTTATCCAAGCCATTGAATTTCGATTCATCCCCCCGTCCCCAGCCAGGCACATACTAGTATTATGCATAACATTAGCATTCTGATATTGCCTATTTGGCAGCTTAAAGGACAATGCGTGCGTGCGTTGGTTGTTTTGTTTTTTCCTCAATTCTTTTTTTTTTGTTTTCTTTGATTTATACAAGTATTGATTTTGTACCTCGCAAGCCGATTTGGTTTTTGGGGACCTAAGCATACACATACCAACCGCCAATCTATTTCAAACATCTCCCAGCAGCGTCAGCTGTGCTGTGCGCTCACTTTCACTTTTAGGCTCAGCCGTTCTCTTTTTCTCTCTCCCTCTCTTACTCTCTCTGTGTCTCTCTTAGTTCTTTTCTGCAGCAGCAGAAGCAGCAGCGCTTCCCTTTTTATGGGCTACACGCGCTCTGCTCATTTCTAGGCCCACACACTCCCACGCTTCAGCATTTTTTGCGTCATATTCGTAGGCGCTTTGCGAGGCTCTCCATCTGCCTGCGCGCACGTGTTTGTGTGTGTGTGTGTGTGTGTGTTTACTTTAGTGGCTGCCTGTTCGTTTGTCCGCTTTGTTTGTTGTCATGTAAATGATTTCTGCATTAATGATGCGACTCGTTTCGCATGCCAGGCTAACGGCTTCCGTAGCCAGCGATGGTTGCAACATATTTTTTGAGCTTGCGAGCCTAATTTATGCCACTTGCTGCTGCTGCTGCTCTGCTGCTTGTCGAATGGACACGTTTGGCTGCGTATGCTGCCCACATATTATTATTATTATTTTTGCTTTTTTTTGCCCACAAATAGTCGAGCGTTAAAGTCTTAAAGCCATAAATATTGCCTCATTTTGTCTGCATAAATCATTTATAATTTTCATACGTATTATGACTACAAGTATTTTATGTTTGGCTTGCTGCGAGGCCAGGATTGATGTCGCCCATTTAAGGCTTCAATTGGGCGCATAGTCATCAAACATATTTAAAAGAAAGCAATTTTGTTGCGTCTGCCAGAAAGTAAAGAAATGAAACCGAAACCGAAACTGAAATCAAAACCGAAACTACCTCGTCTTGTGTAAAACTACCTCTGCAACTGCGCCCACAAGCGACATCAACGAAGCAAAACCAAACGTGTTCGAAGCTCATGCAACAAATAGCACAAGAATAAGTATAACAGGCAGCGCCTTTTTAGGAAATTGTTTACTCGTATGTTAGAGAAAATTAGCATAACTTTTTCGTACATTTAGTCAAATTGAAAAGCAATCCTCAAGTCCTAAACTTAGCATTAAACTATTTACTGACGAATAAGAAGAAACCACACTAGACAAATACCAGTTATATAATAATTTAGACTATTTCCCCGATCGATAATCATTTAGTGAGAAGGTCAAATACACATATAGTATAAGGTAACTAAATTCGTGTAAGCTGTGTAATAAACGATACAGAATGATGAGAATAATTATAGCCCAAAAAGACTGCGAGCCAAAAACTCTCAAAAATTATACACATAAAAGCCCTAAAAATATTTAATATATTAGTACTTATATGCAACACAAAAAGTTTTGTAAATAGTGACGGGATTCCAACAATGGTTGAATTGAAGGAAGGAAGGTGGGAAGGAGGAAAGGAAGGAAGGAAGCAAGCTCTAGGCATACGTATTAGGAAAAGTTGCTGCTAGTCTAAACCCAAAACTTGCAAAGCATTTTAACCTCAAACTAAACTACAAGTACGAGTATATTGAACCGAAAACACACTCAACATTAATTGACGTGGCTTTAAAAAGTAAATTAAACTTACAAAAATAATCAACTGCTATGCCTAACTAATGCATAGACAATTAATTTATATCGACATAGTATTAGACTCGAATGCAAGTCAGATTTGTATAGTACATATAATAGCTACAAACATACACTCACATACATAAATACACACATACAAAATATTAAATATACGGTACTATAATATAATGATCCAAGTGCGATCTAAATTTAGTTGAAATTTTTTCGGGGTTCGTATGACAGAGAGAGAGAGAGAGAGAGAGATCTGAGGGAGATCGAGGTCAGAGGAGGAGCAACAAGTGTAGCTTTATTCGGACAGAGTGCAAATCGATAACGAGTGGTGGACAGAGGGAGTACATACATACAAAACAAATATACCACATATACCTCAGTACATGCATAAGTACATATGTGAGAGTGCGTGCGCCAGCCACGCCTCCCAACAATTATATACCTCGTGTATACATATACATTTAATAACGACAACAATATTCATATATACAAAATTTATAGTATATATATATTTAAATAAATAGATCAATAAACTTGTTAGACTAAATGTTGTGCGCCCACAATTGCATAATTCCAATCAAAAAACGAAGATGAAGAAAAACGTAACAAAATCTAGCAAAGAAGCGCAGAGTAAAGCAGAAGCAGAAGCATTTTTTACTACCTCCTTTCTTGTTGTATGTGTCTAGAAAAAGTAAAGATTCTATAAACAAATCACTAGCTACAATCCATGCATATAAACATACATACATACATAGCTACATAATTAGCTGACTAAGGCAAACGAAAATTCTAGAGCAAGTAACTAAACTAAATGTTGTATCTCTTTTTATAGCATACTTATGTGCGTCCGCAGCAGACAGACAAACATACATACAAACA